TAGACTATGAAGGAGATCTACTACGCACTAAATATAGGTGATTTTTTCCTGAACTTAAATCTGTGGTATCAAGCGGAAATCTGTCACAATTTTTTTGATGAGACCTCGAACTACATACAAAATGAAACCGATTTCAAGTGAGTCCTGCTCTTCTACATAACAAGTGATTAATGGAGTAAAGCCCGCCACAGCACGAATTGTGAAGTGTACAACAATGGTTACGCATACAATGTACAATGAAATGCAATGAAACAACCTTGGCACAAGGAGAGACGTTAAACTTTTTGATATTTGAGCAGTACTTCGATCGAGCGAGGTTTTTGCATGAACACAAAAAAAAGTTTCTTCAGTGAGTATGCGTATAGATAAAAACAACCAAACAAATGATATAAAACGCAAAAGAGTGATAACCGTCGTATTGAAGTCGTATTTGAAGTGAATTTGGGACATATATTGACATCAATGTCTTTGAAACAACACATAGTATTGGAACATTGGAACTTCAACAGAAGTAATCAGTCATCCCGAGCTGATACGACTTGTTCACTGATTTCAGCCATTGCAGACAAGGTCGTGTTAATCCAGTGCTGAAGGGTGCTCTTCTTTTTACCATCATTTTTGGCATTGGTATCGTGCTAAAACCAGCTTTAAACGTGATTTCGTGATAAGCATTTGCTGCGCTAATAGCGACAGTTGTAGAAGATTTTAGAGTGATTATAGTCTTCTTACCTTAACAAATTCACTGGGTACATACACAAATACATCGTCATCATCGCTCTGAAACATTGACATGATTAGAAAAAAAAAAGTTCGAACCTTAGCACACAAAAAATGCTACTACGTGAGTTAGTATTTTGAGATAGATGATGGCATGCGCATGCAACTGAGAGAAGCACAAACACAACCACACATGTTCACCTTCGGTATATCGTATTTGGCTCCATCAATATACGAAGTATCAAAAGCCACCAAAAACCACTGATCACGACATTTATTTTTTGAAGGGAAATTTTCCCTCAACGAATACGTAATAGAACAAACGTAAAGATGTTCTTCAAATGTTCGCGACGGGTTCAGAACTATACGAGAAAAATCTTATATACATGCAAGCATCACAAAATTCGAAGAAATGTTGATAGAAAGTGATAGTGATAGAGAGCAGAAAAAAATCGTGAACAATAAGTTCATCTGTGGAAAAGGCAAAACGAGCAAGCCAGAGGCAAAAGGTAGTCGAGCGTGAATTCATGGAAGAAAACGTGCTAATTCGTGTAGCTGAGGATAAAGTGCATATGGAAATTTGCTATTCACAAACAGTGTGCTATGCTGGTTCATCTACCTTCACTGGCTTCAACAATTTTTCCTTTGTAATACATTTTCGCATATCTTTGGCAGTCCATCGGTCCTTTACACGCGGTGTGAGTGTTCTGAAATAAATGGCAAAACAATTCAATTTTTCACTTAAATTGTGGTGCAGTATTGAAAAAAAGCAGCCTCTTTCTCTTTTCTTTCACTTACATATTTCATACTGAGAAAGAGACAATCAAGGAAGAAAGTTTTAAATATAGGATAGGGGACGTTGCCGTATACTATGTGGAAAGAGCGCAGAAATCCTGTCGGTCCAAAGCTGCGAAGCAGGCGTTTGATCCAACTCTTTAGAAAAGAAAGAGATCTATTATAATCCTATGTGCTCGCAGTCAAAGCATAAGGATATTCATCTCTAAGTACGTTTCAAAAAGTGGTTTCTGAATTTAAGAGAATCTTTATATATGTAGGTTGCGAGCTGTTCTTTGAAAAATC